TCATGGTCTGAAGGTTGTTTTCTACGGAATACTGTCGGGAAATTTTACAATGTTTTGCGGTCATGGGTGTTCCATCAAAATATTTGTCCCCTATGACGGAGCTGTATGCGGAATTCTGTGGACGCGTAGAGGTGTGAAGCAAGCCTGAGTTCAACGCGTTCAGCGGTGTAAAACAAGGCTGCCCTCACCATTCTTGCCTAAATTTGTTGCTGACGTGTTGCTTGAAACCTCTCTGCCTGCCTCTGAAACCTCGGTGATTGAATTACTCGTGCGGCAATCGACCATGAAGTATGCAAACGATGTAGCTCTTCTAGGTTCAGATTTTTCAGAGGTGTGAGACACTTTACACAACCTAACTACTTCTCCAACACCTGAAAAGTTCAAAGTGCTGATACATTCTGGGTGGAATTAAATCAGACCCACGTTCTTGGGAGCTTCATAGATGGACTTATTTCTGATGCACTGGCCGAAGAAGAGATCACTTCTCGAATCGAGGAGGTTGGGGCAGCATTTGCCAGCATTCGACACACAGGGGGCCGGTGCGACGTCAGTTTGTTTATCAAAGTAGAGTGTACATTGCAGCGGTATGATCCATACTGTTTTACGAATCAGAAACTTGGACTCTAGCACAAAAGACATACGAAAACTCTCAGCGGTTAACCACCAGCGTCCACCCGGAACATCATAGCAGTGATGCTGAGACGCACCAGATAGTTTTACGAATCGGTGCTCTCACGATAAACAAGCTGCTTGGTGTTTGTTGAATACTGATGTCATGCTGCTGACGATGATGGTGAGCTGTTTACGCTTCATACGTTATGCTGTTCCCTTCGCATGTCAGAGGACTGTCTATATCGAAGACCCATTTTCACCCTGTAACGAGTGGATTTAACTGATAGGTGGGTAACCTATGACATGGCAGGAAATTATCAAAGCATTGATCCGTAAACTCAGTCGACAAGTTTCGCCTTTCTAGTTGATGTCTCGGAGGTTCTAGTCATCATTGGTTAGTGAAACTGGCGAAAGTCGCTTAATCACGCAGTCACTCGGATTTCTGCATCGGAGCTATGGCGCCCAATACGCAGCTGACTAGTTTCCGATTCATTGAAAATCACGACTGATTCAGTACAGCCAAAGTGCCCATATAAGCTCGAGCTAGCTCAGTAGACAAGGTACGAAGTCACTAACCGGAATGCTTGTGGTTCGAATCGAACCTCGGTATCTCGAATGATTCTATCTAGGCTTGGGCAATCTGTCAGTACCTCAGCACTTGGGATGGCACGGTGGCTGGCACAGAAAGGATATTAGAGCTGAACGATCATTATGATTATGTTACTAAGTGCTTGCCATCATTTCTAGTGTTTGGTTATATCCCTCCACCATTCAATTTTTGGACGATCGACGATGCAACCAACGACCATTGGTACATGGTTTATAGGTGATAAACTGGACTGGACTGACATACCAACCTTATGTTCAAAACTATCGCTCTTGTCAAAACATGTGTATGGAGTCAGATGATATTTTGGTTTGTGCCTGTATTTCAGCTTGTTTCCCAACGGAATCATCTTCACTGGCTGCAAGATCCAGTAGACGAAGGAGTTTATCAGTAGCAAAAAAATTGTTCAGCCATGCAAACGGATGGAGGCACGAGGGCTGGGATACTGCCAGGTTGTCCGAGCCTAGACAGCAGCAGTCGAAATGCTGAGGTTGGGTTGGAACCACGGATCTTCCTGTCCGTAAGCTGGCGCTTTAACCACCGAGCTATCTCGACATGCTATCAGTAACAGCCATCTAGGCAATCCGCGAACATGAAAAAACCGACGGTTCGGAATTCGGAACGTTATGAATTTGGCGTTTGACTACGGACGACCAAATTCAATTTGGGGTTCACAGCGATCTCTACCCCCGGCCAAGACAGAGAAGTGGGTCAAGTCTTTGATATTCATGCACTGGCTTCATCTGATACATTTCCATCAGAACTAATACAACTACGGGGGCGCCCAGTGGTTAGGGCGCGAATTTACCGACCGAAAGGTCCGTGGTTCGAACCGCACCCCTGCCTTTCGACTTCTGTTTAGGCTTGGGCAACCTTGCAGTATCCAAGCACTCGTGCTCCCTTCTGGTGGCGTAGCAGTTAGGCACCGAAGAGGTGCTACAGCTGAACGATAATACAACATCTGAAATGAGTCAAATCCTCCGCAACCTCCAGTGCTTCTCCTTCGTTCAGAGACTGCATGTTCTGAAGCGGGACTTGGAAGTTTTAAGGTGCACGACGCATTTCGAAGGATGGTGTGGTGGTAGTCAGTTTATCTAACAGGGCTTGTGCTTCACATTCGTCTTCGACGTTGAGGACGATGTCATCTGCGTACTTCAGATCGTCAAGGTTCTCATGAACAGCCATATGAACACCAGGCTTTTGGAAATCCTTCGGCGCTCGGCTCATTATTTCATCAGTAACAAAGAGCGAGGAGGGCATTAGGGTCAACTAGAGTACTTGCATCCTGTATCCCTATTCTGACAGACAGCTCACATCAATGTAGAGGGAATCAGCGTAGGAGCAAGAACGGCTTTTTGTCCTGCTTGCTAAAGGAGGCTAATTAGACCGATTTTCGGAGTGTGAAGCTGATTTCGACGCGTTTGAGGTTGTTAGTGAAGTCGGATGCACAAAAGCTGTAGCAGAGTGTGATGCATGGCGAGCAAAGCGGTCAGTCCTAGTGCTTAAACTTGAGAAGAAAGTATAAAGTTGGAATGAGGTAGGGTAGAATAGGGAATACATCGAAGCGTGAGAAGGGAGGCGTCAGCAGTAGCCTGTTTTCGCTTAATCACTCCCTGCTGTATGCAACAACTAAGGCTGATGTAATCACGAGAAAGCCGATTTGGTATGAAGTCGTCCGTAATTGTGCAATTAATGGTTGTACATGAGCTGGAAAACTGCTAGGGAACCCAGCCCTAGACAAGACAACGATTATGGCCACCAACCAAAGTCCCTGGCTCGACGGCCTAACCGCAAGGTAGCCGTAATTAGAATAAGACCGCAGACCACTCTACTTTCTAAGAAGCAATCTGCTACACATGTTTCAACCGCCAAGCTGAATCGACAGAAAACTACGTTAGTCAGAACTCTATCCACGGACCAACGTGACACAAGCCTCCGTGAATATCACAGGTGAATTCCGAAACAAAGCTCTATAGGTTATGTAGGTGGGGGCCGAGATGGCTCCGTGATTAGAGCGCGAAGGTCCTGGTTCAAACCCGACCTTTGCATCTCGACTCCTTCTGTCTAGGGTTGGGTAACCTAACAGAATCCCAGTCCTCGTGCTTCCTTCGGGTGGAGTGGCAGCTTGACACCAAAAGGATGTTATAGATGACTTTTTTCCCTGGGGGTGCATACACCGTCATACCGCAGCCTATTGGTGACAGTAGGAAGATGTCATCATATTGGGAGTTCCAAAGAATAAGTGGATGTCTGGTTAATATCATTCACACTCACTGACGTGCTTTCAAATTATGGGCATACAAAAGGTTTGACCAATAGCCTGTAATATAGTTGGTGGAAGAAAGAAATGAAAAAAGATCAAGTATCTAAAACATGTCCGTGTTACAAGGAATTTATAGGAAGATTTTCATCGACTACGTAGTAGGTAGGCAATTGGGCGCTTGCTCAAACTCCACAGAAGGAATCCTGATAGACGCAAGATATGGTTCACTTGTGACCTCAGTTTCAGCCTTTACCAGCCAGGACTACCACATCACAGTTCCATAGTTTCTAACACCGTCTGTACCTAGCAAACTTCAATAGAATAAGCTATGGTAACAGACAGCGTCCCCTCATTCGCCGTGCCCGTCCGAATAACAGTTTACCGAGATGTGTTCTGTCTTATTTATCGAACCCGTTGTGCAGTTGTAAGCAGTAGGCACAGAAATTACTGCTTTCTCGATGTGAACAGTCACTTTTTGTTCGAATTGTCTCGAGGATTACAAAGCATTAAGCGTTCAAAAGGACTCTAGTTTTTTTTGCAGCGGCGCAGTCAGGAGGGGAAGCTAGTTTCCGCAAACACAAGAAAGTAAGAGACAATTCAAACGTTCAAATTGTCCTTGAAAACGTTGGAGTTTTACGGGCTTCCTCGCATGAAACTCATTCCAGACATGCCGCGCCCGTTGTCAGTGTCAGCTTTACTAAGCAAGAATGCGCTCCAATAATTCTGTGCACTTATTCATGGGCTTAATAACGCCCAGACATAGCTCGTCTATCAAAATATCGAAACAGTGGGTTAGTCTATATTTAGGCCAGTTAGGAACCCATCGAAAGCCTGGTGAGTAATCGAACCAGTTTGAACAAGAATCCTTACGTGAACCTCTTGTGTCTCCCATCAAACAGTAGGCTAAAATCAAATGGTTTAGAGTACATGGCTTTGATGTAATATGGTCCTTACAAGTGGGAACTGAAATGCATTCGTGTTCACTTTGTAGTCCACTTATGACTAGCAGGCTTAAATAGGGAACCGATAGAACCAAGTTCGAAAAATCAGATCATTATATGACATGTTGGAAAGATTGTCGTTGAAGACTAAGTTGAGCCATAACGATATAATTCGACAAGCGATTCACCGCGACCAATGTCAAATGGCAGTAACCATGTTAATGGTTGTAGTTAAACAAATTTCGAAGATGAGGAAGGCACACGCCTTAAAAACTTCAAATATCCATGTGACTCGGACGCAAAATAATCAGACGCAAAAGGGGGCTAGATCGCTCAGTGGTTAGGGCGCGAATTCACTGACCGGAAGGTCGGTGGTTCGAACCCAAACTCTGCCTCTCGACTTCCCCTGTCTAGGCTTGGGCAACCTAGCAGTATTCCAGCCCTCGCGCCTGCTTTTGGTGGCATGGCACTTGGACACCGATAGGGTGTTAACAGCTGAACGACAAACGCAAAACAGTCCCAAAGACTGGATGAGAAAGTAAAAATCTGCCGAAATGTTTGGCATTAATGCACTTACTAGTTCACCTAAGGAAGTCCACGGTGTGGTTGGCAGTCTACGTTTTTGATTTCGTGGAGTGACCTCTGCAGAGAGGGACTGGTACACCTTCTTCTTTCCACGGAACTTCTGTTCGATATGACACGAAGGTGGACCGATGGGTAGAGCAACAGAAGAGTTCGAAGTCGTGGAAGCGGGACTGGAAGAACTTGCACCCATAGAATTCGACAATTCAGTCGACTGGTGGGATGGATGCCTACGAAAACAGAAAACATAAAGTGAAAATTCTGGAAAGTAGGCATGTGTATATTGGAGGTATTCGAGCGCTGCAACTCAACCAGTGAGAATATTTCAAGTGACTAAAAATAGGGGATAGAGACAAGGTCGTCTTTGACTTCTTACATTTACGGTACACATTGGCGGGACAATTACGTGGTCTACGCCTGCTTTTGGTGGCATGGCAGTTGGACACCGATAGGGTGTTAACAGCTGAACGACAAACGCAAAACAGTCCCAAAGACTGGATGAGAAAGTAAAAATCTGCCGAAATGTTTGGCATTAATGTACTTACTAGTTCACCTAGGGAAGTCCACGGTGTGGTTGGCAGTCTACGTTTTTGATTTCGTGGAGTGACCTCTGCAGAGAGGGACTGGTACACCTTCTTCTTTCCACGGAACTTCTGTTCGATATGACACGAAGGTGGACCGATGGGTAGAGCAACAGAAGAGTTCGAAGTCGTGGAAGCGGGACTGGAAGAACTTGCACCCATAGAATTCGACAATTCAGTCGACTGGTGGGATGGATGCCTACGAAAACAGAAAACATAAGGTGAAAATTCTGGAAAGTAGGCATGTATATACTGGAGGTATTCGAGCGCTGCAACTCAACCAGTGAGAATATTTCAAGTGACTAAAAATAGGGGATAGAGACAAGGTCGTCTTTGACTTCTTACATTTACGGTACACATTGGCGGGACAATTACGTGGTCTACGTGGTCCACGTTCTATAGGCCTTACTGCTTTCATAGTAAAAAAAAGTGCTAGTAACTTGGAGGGAACAACTCGCGTTTTATCGCTGAGAACAGTAGGGTCTGACCTGATACCGCTCAATATTGAGTCTCTGGTTACTGTCTCTCTGACGCCAACGACCAACTTCGTAATCTTTTACATCCTTAAGTGAAATCACCTTAAGGTATGAGCCACTTTGAGAGAGACACCGAGAACCGTAATGTTTTTGATAGACTATGTTTCGGCACCCCCAGAATACGACCGGGCTATCGCAGTGGATGGCGGTGGATATCTTCCGGGACCGATGTTATTGCTGCACAACCAAAGGGCCATTTTCTAATTTTATTACATTCAGCTGTGATAGCCTTTCGATGCATAGCTGTTGTGCCACAGAATAAAGCAGGAGGGCTGAGATACTGCCAGGTTGACCAAGCCCAGAAAGGACCAGTCGAGATGAAGAGGCCGGGGTTGAAATACAGACCATCCAGTTCGTAAGTTCGCACCTTAACTACTGAGCAGTCTGATAATCCCATTACGTAAACGTCAATGTCATTCGAAACCGGCAAAACTCTTCGGAAATCCGTGGTCAAAAATCCAAAGATGCCTCAAGTAGCCTTCCAGCGGAGGCCATGTCATGCACCTATACAACATGAACCTGTAACCTTGTGCACACGGTCTCTGAGACTGAAGGGAATGATTTTACTATGCAAAAACGGTGTAAATTAGTAAACGTGGTTCCGGTCTTTGATGTTCGTGCACTGATATATGTAAAATTCTCCATAGCTCTTGTGCCTATCCTTCAAATGAGAAGGGTGTGTTCAGGCACAAGGAGAATGCCGAAGCATGGTATGATGGTTGCCAGTTTATGCAAGAGTCTGTACTTTAGGTTCCTCTTCAAAAATTGGGACGTCGTCTGCGTAGTTCAAACGGACGAGGTCCTCACTCGCCAAAACTGAACATTGTGATTTTGAACACCCTCTAACGTCCTCTATAGTAAATCATCAGTCGCGAAGATGAACGAAAACGGAATGGAAAACCTCGCCAGACAGCACTTTCTGCAGGGAAGCCCTAATTGCAAGTTTTTTGACGAAACCAGCACCCAGACTGAAAATGTCCGAACAGTTGAGCTCCGGTGGGAAAAAAGGTGTTTTCGTAATCTCCTCTTCGAGAACATTGGCTTGCGCCACTGTTAATTGGGCACGGAAAGCAGACCTGTCTTCAGCAAACAATAATTCGGTATGCGGAATAGATGGCCGTAAAAAGCAGCTTCCGGACAATCTATGATTGAACTCCCCGTTAGACAGGCGAACACTTGCCTTCGAATCGTCTCACTGCGACTTCGTCAGTTTGTCTACGACAACAGTTATCGAACAACCGAGGACGTCTCAGTTAAACTGCTCGAAGAGGCCACGTCTGACAGCCGTAAAATGAAACAGCCCGCACAGTAGTCTGATATACAAGTCCTTTGAAATTCATACATAAACCGATTTGTCGCCACTCAATTCAACTCAGTTTATCAGCTATAAACCAAGTATTACGAGCACATTGGTTCCAGCTGCTACAGTTTTGATCACCGGAAGGTTGCAGTGTGGGAAATACAGTCAAGCCTTGAAGGCCAAGGCATGTTTACTTAGTTTGAGAATTGGGTAGACACACACTGAAGCCGATAATTTGGATGCACGAGCGCCACTGACTGCGCGATTGGGCCATTTCTGACAGTGTAAATAACAATTGGTGAGTTGAGTCTCGAAGTCCCCATCCAGAAGGGCGGGAAATGTCGACCCAAATTGGGTTACTGATAAACGTTTTAAAACTTCGTTACCAGTGTACACTCTGTCCTTTATACATGAACTGACGCCACACCGGCGCCTTAGGTGTTGGAGATTAGATAAAGCTGTCCTGGCCTACCCAAATCGGAGAATAATCTCATCTCCTAATACAAGTGCCCAGCTAATCACATCCCTTGATAAGGTAAACAAACTCCCTGGTGGCCAGCCACCGCCAAAGTTCCTCACGATCGACAGGTTAAAAAGAACTTCTCAAATCCAATGTCTGAAACAATGCCTGAAAGTAACGTTGTTCAAGGACCCGTCCCAAGGTAAAGATACGGTCGATGCATTCCCGGTCAGGAGAAAACCCAGTTTGAGAGTCAAGAATCCGTCTCTCCGGATGATCGATCAACCTGCGGAGACAACCTTGGATGCCACGGCTACCACGCCGATGATGGGACGGTTTTCACATGACGATTTTGTGCCGTTTTTTGAAAAGTGGGATGACAGTCGAGGGGCTTCAATCCACTAATATTCTCTTTCGGTTCCCAATCCTCTGCAATATGGTTGTCAAACATTTCACCGGGGCCCCACGACCTTCAGTGGAGAATGTGGCGAACTGACTAATCAGCCTACGTACTTTGTCACGTTGGATCGTTACTGCACATTATTGATAAAAAAATAATCGTACGGCTGTGACACCCTTCCGGTGACTAGCTGCCATGCCACCAGGAGGCAAGAAGGTTGGGATACTGCCAAGCCTAAACAGGGGAAGTCGGGAGGCAGATGTCGGGTTCGAACCACAAACCTGGTCAGTAAGTTCGCACTCTAACCACTGAGCCACGTCGCCTTCTCAGACTGAATTTCTGTTGCTGATGGCGGGAAGATGTCAGCGTTTCATTCGGGTCCGGTAGGTTCTTCTAGCGATTGTCCCGAAGGGGACCAGCTCAGCTGGCCCCTTTGAAGTGTTCAGTCTATCTCTAAAGAGGGAAGCTCTGTGAGTTCATTGTCGCCATGTGTTTATCGTATACTTTTTCGCTGGCGCCCGCCTTCTTTTGACCGGTTGATCGAATCAGCTGAAATGGGGCACGGCTGCTGCCTTCAGTGAAAACCGCTCCCATTTCCCTGTGCCTCCAAATCTGTCGGCGTTCTCTGGCATTCTTCGAGTTACTGATTATCCCGTGTTTAAGTGATGTCGATGCGCTATCGCAGTCGCTCGTTGCTGGTATGGTCTTTCTGGCAGCAATAAGATCTGCTGATTTCAACGATATCCACGTTGATTTGGTCGATTCGGACGGCTTGTACAGACCATTTTGAACTTCCAGAGCATAGCTTAACTCGCTTCCATTCAACCTCCCAGCAATCTTTGTCATCCACATGAATGCGCGTTTCCGGTAGATTTCTAGCAAGGTCAGTCCGATACTCCTGAAATACTGAAACGAAGTTAATGAATACAATTGCTCATCTTTGATACGCGTACTGCTGACTGGAAGCAGAGCGATAACCGAGTAAACATAATGGCATGATCAGAGTCAAGTTGTGTACCCCAGAATCAACGACAATCCTTAATTAACGCTCTCCACCGGTACTGATAGCCACATGGCCCGGTTGAGTCCATGACTATCTTGCGGTTGGTAGCCTGCGAGTAAACAGGTGTGAGCGTCTGCGTCCAAAGTTCGTACTGGCCAGGAACAAACGATGATCTGCACACGAATGAAGCAGTCGCTCTCCATTATGCGTACACTGAACATCGACTTTAAATCTACCACCCAACTTTGGTCCTTTCGGACTTCGTCGTCTAAATTGGGCATTCATAGCACCCACCAAGATTACTATACCCTTCCTTCTTGCTGACCGAAGCAGTCGCGACAGACTCCGATAAAACCAGTATTTCTCAGTATCAGAATTACAGTCTGTCTGGGCGTATGCTGATACAACCGAAATGTCTACCAAACTGACCTACATTGATTTTAACTGGGTCGGACAATCGCAAAGCGCAAGCACGACTGTTGGGCTGAAATGTCTTAGTGCGAACCTAGCGACGGAAGATCCGTAGTTCGAACCCAACCTCTGTAGCTCGACTGCTTCTGCTCAGGCTTAGGATTTCAGCCGCGTGCTTCCTTCCCATCAGGAAGAGAATGGACCTTATCGTAATGTCACGGTTTGCGCGCCTCCACACCACGTTGAGCTATACTGGGGTCCTATGTGCAACACTCACGGAGTCCAGACACCAAGTTCGTTAACGACAAGGGGTTCGACCGAAATAGTCTCCTGGCTTTTCCGTTTTGGTGACGGAACATGTGTAGCAGCTTACCCCATGAGAATCGTAATGCAGTTGAATTTCCCACGGAACAACGATGCCTTGCGGTCAGTTGTTTGAGCAAAAGGATTTGGTTGGGGATTTCAATCGTCCTCTTGTCTAGATCTGAGCGCCCAGATTTCATCCCAGCCAACACGCAAACATGGATTTCATGCTTACAAATAATCTCTGGACATGTCGGCCGTCGCCTGGTGCCATCAACGGGGTCGACTTACCTGCTGCAAACGGCAGGGCGGCTACGCTAAAACAGGC